GGGGAGGGGACAGGGAAGTCAGAGTCTCCCGCTTCCCGTGCCACGTTCTTCCGCCTCCCGTACTTACTTTTGTGCCCCTTTGATGATTCCCGTTTTTCATTGTGTTGCTCTCGTCTTCAGGTTAATCAAGAGGAACAGAAACCAGGGTTTAACTTTCAAACTGTGCCAAAAATTAATATTCTTTTTCATTTTCTAGCCTTTGTTTTGGCGAGGGATCATTGGTTCCCGATGAAAGTTCACACAGGTCAGTTTCCTTAATCAACACAACCGGATTATCACAGTTTGATGGTCGCTTATGACATCTCGTTATATAGACGAAAGTCTCATTTCACTGTGTGATGTAATTTGGGTTGTACGGAGCGAACTCCCAAGAAGGTCTTCCATGAACGGATTTTTCGTGGTCACAACGAAAAATACTGAGGCCGATTAATATAGTCTTTGACAGCGTGTGACCTGAATGACCCTGAATCGCTTTCTTTGCTGGACATTTTTGACAACTACAGCTTACCAAACACTATACATCTCATGCTATCTCATGTTTTCTTGCCTCCGAAATTTTCTTTTAAACGTTGGTCCGGTGGATGTTAAATGGAAATTTCAAAACGTTGCTCGATATTAAGTGCTTTTGACTGAATAATACCCAGTAATAAACAACAAACTATCGCCTTATTTATTTCTGCTTCCGCTTCCCGCCCTCATATAGATATTGCTTCCTGCCCTCTGTTCTCCCGCTTCCCTCTCTTTTCCACCCCCTGTTCTCCCAGGCTTCCACCCCTACTGTCCCCCTCCACTGTAGAACTACAGAGATAAACACAGGTACCAGCTGGCACATCAAGAGGGCGGCCGGCGGTCAAAATCCACTAACCATGCTTGACCAGTCCAGCGTTTTGGAAACGACATTAAATTTGCACATTAATCAAATCTATCATAATTTCGTTAGGAAAGAAACGTGTTGTGGCGTTAAAGGAGCACTCTCATGAAACCGCCCTATGATTTGAAAACTCGAAAAATTCAGTTATTTCATTATAAGATACATTTTTAGCGATTAATAAAGCCTTTTCAATAATAATTTTGGTTGAAAGTCAATTCTAGGGCGAGAAATTACGATTTGAAAACCGTTCCGCCATTAATTTTCGCGATCACGGCCAACTTATCTTCGGTCAGCGGTCACTCCCATTGTGACGTAGATTACTCAAAACACTTTTTATATTTATACGGAAACCCTCGTGAAATTTAGTGAAATAGTCTTAGTCTTAGTGTTATAAAAAGCAGTATATACGATCAAAATACTTTTTTTTAAATTAGCCATGAGCACGGCACTTCAAATGAGTAATCTACGTCACCTTCCCTTCCATTATGACGTAGTTTAATCAAAACACTTCTATATTTATACAGAAACCTCGTGAAATTTATTGAAATAGTCTTAGTCTTAGTGTTATTAAAAGCAATATATAGGATCAAAATACTGTTTTTGAAAGTTAGCCACGAGCACGGCGCGTTAAATGAGTAATCTCCAAACTCGCGCCAGTCTTCTTGAGCCTGGCAAGTGATTACGAAAATTCATGAACGAACGGTTTTCAAATCGTAATTTCTCGTCCTAGAATTGACTTTCAACTAAAATTATTGTTGAAAAGGCTTTACCAATCGCTAAAAATTCATATCATAATGAAATAACTGAATTTTTCGGGTTTTCAAATTATAGGGCGGTTTCATAAGAGTGCTCCTTTAAAGATTTGAGGTGAACTGGCGGTAGGGCGAGCTTGCAACGGGGCGAAAGCAGTCATAACCCACAAGTGAGGCTACCCAAATAAAGGGCCCTCACTACCTAATCGCTTGAGAATAGGCCACAAATGGAACTCCCCTGAAACTCCAGACCGAACAGTCAGAGAAGTGAGCCAAAGTGGCTTTT